GGGGAGCCTGACCAAACTGTTCCATTTTCCCATCACTACTCAACATGGTACTTCTGACACCACATGGGGGGACCCCCCACACACGCCCCAACCAGTCAATTCTGCAGCAGATGCCAGCTGGGTGTCCTCTGACTCAATTCAATTCCCACACCGCCTACCAGGAGATCCCATACATTGAGGTCTCAGTCCCACAAGCCCACCTCCACATCAGGTGCCAGTTGCAAGCCCCAGGTTGTGACCTGTTCGTCTGACTGACCGGCTATAAATTGGGATTCTCACCACCTGCTCCTTGGACTCGATTAATTTACTTGAGGGGCTCACAGAACTCAGGGAAACACTTTTTTATATTTCTCCATTTATTGCAAAGGATACAGACAAACCCCCAACTGAAGGTGGGCCAAGGGCAGAAGGTCCACCAAACTGGGATGTGGTCTCCCGACTGAACAAGGCAACAGGCCGTTCCATGAGACAAAGCAAAAAGTTTTATCACAGGGTGACGACTTATACACAGGGTGCTGGTTCAGGCAGATGCCGACCCAAAGGCACCTGCCAAGCTTCTCAACACCATCTCCTGGCCGAGCTCAGTTTTACACAGCGGTTTGTAAACAAGCCTAAGGTGACTGGCTCCGGGATTGACACAGGTCAGGCAGGCTTATCCCCACACTGGTATTTAATCACTACTCCTTTACATCAGCAGCTCGTGCCTTTCTACCGACCTAACTTCCTCACCCTAGTTACTCTATAGCTTAACGGGCAAAGCTCTCACAAGGACACAGCAAGTGGTAAGGGCTCAAGCTGGAGTCAGCCATGCTCACAGTCCCAGTCATCAGATGGAAGAGACACACAGGGCGAGGTACAGGGGAGGGCGCAGAGCTTCCATACCTCTCTAAGAGCACCACCCTCCAGGAACCTCCACGTGTTCAGATATCTGGAAGCTCCCCAAATCCAGCCTTTTAGGTATTTATGGAGGCTTCATTCCTTAGGCATGATTGAATTATTGGCCACTGGTGATCAACTCAACCTTCAATCCCTTTCCACTCCCCAGTGTGGGACTGAAAGTCCCAACCCTCTAATTATGACTTGATCTTTCTGGTGACCAGCCCCCATCCTGAAGAGATCTAGGAACTCCCAGCCATGAGTCCTCTCATTAGCATACAAAAGACACTCTAATCACTCAGGAGATTCCAAGGGTTTTAGGAGCTGTGTGCCAGGAAACAGGAAGAAAGACCAAATATCTATTTCACAATATCACAAACACATTTTGTTACATCTTGCTGTTTAGATAGACACAATTTGTTCCATCAGATTATTAAGGTATATCCCAGCAATACTTTTCAAGATCCAGTAGGTAGAAAGACTCCTGCAAGCACCTCATTAGAAAGAGGAGGTTATTTTTATTCTCTTCTTCAGATGAGGAATTGGAGCTTGAGATCAGCTAGGCACCCGCCCCATTAAATGTGCCAGCAGGACAGAGCAACACGAGGGGAGTCCCTGACTGACCCCAGCCCGCTCCTGCACCCCCAGAGCTGCCATTCTCCTTTCAGAGCTTCCTCTTTGTTGCAGGGATCCACAGTTGGAATTAAATACAGTGGTGAAGGGCTGGCTGCTTGACTCATGGCTAGCGCATGGTCTTGTGACACCAAGGTCAAGGGTTTGGTTCACTATACTAACCAACCACCAAAAAATAAACAAACATGATGATGGAATCACTTATTTCCTGTGCCAGCACCCCTGGGACAGAGCTATCTCCCTCACTGTCATTTCCCTGAGGGCCCAGCACCCAGCATATGCTCAGTTAATACTGCCTACGTCAGTAGCTCTGGGAAACTCGAGCTGAAGAACCACTGGAAGCCAGTCTTCCAGATACAGACCATCCCGTGCACACAGCTGAGTTGACTCCAGCGCTTCTTGGAGATCACTGCTCCCTGTACAATACAAAATCACTGTCCACGTCTACGCCTCAATAGAGAAGGGCTCACGCACCTCCCGACCCCCATCCTCCAGGGGAGAGCAAAGCACTGCCCACCAAGCCCGCCCCAGGGTTGCTCCTCAGGCCACAGGGGGCCTGGGCATGAATCTGACCCTGAGAAAGAAGGTGGTAGTGGGTGGATTTTAAAACAACCACATCTAAAAGGAAAGTGGGTAAGATCGAGGTGGGGGACAGGGGTCCCGGCTGTTGGCCATGCTTGATCTGCCAACTGAGCAGAAACACACAGACTTGCCTAAGACATGTCCTGTTCCTACTGAGCCCATCCCATGCCCCTGTGCCCCACCCATGGTCACAGGCAGAGCCAGACTGGACAGTGAGCCAGCCAGACCCGCTCTGCATGACCACATCCCTTTGTCACACTCTGTACCCCAGCTCCCCCACCACTACCCACCCCCCACCAGCCCTTGCCCATTTCTCCAGGACCAGTCTCCCTACAGGTGGCTGCTGCCTCACCTGGCAGACAGTCCCCTTCTCTCCCCTATAACTGCATGTGGGACAGGACGCCCCACTGGCTGACCACCTCAAGTATGGGACCCCTGCCCACAGTGCCGTGGGAGGAGAGCAGGGACACTCTCAAGTTTGGGTCTCGTGAGCAAAGCTGGCAAAGGGACTATTTACTCAGCTGGAGGCAGATGCCGGACGGCTCAAGAGAGGACACAGTGCCCAGGGCCGCAGTTTGTTAGCCACGCTGGAAAGGGCCCCAGGGGAGTGTCCACATGGCCTGAAGGCTCCCTGGGAGGGCCTGGCAGGCAGGGGTGTGAGCCGGAACCCAGGCTCCCCCTGGCCCCACTGCCAGCTCCTGCAGGCACACCCAAGCGTCCCCAGCGAAGCCACCAGTCAGCTCCTACCAGATCAGGGCAGGCAGGGATGCGTGGGGAGCAATCTGAAGGGGCAGAAGATCAGCCTAACTCCTGATTTTTAAGGACAGAACATCACTATGTCCCTGAACCTGGAGACAGTCCTCCAGTTTTTGCTTGTAAACAAAAGGTCCCTGCCACTCCAGTCCTCAGAGAGCGCCTAATGGGTCTGGGCCCCTCCCCAGGCAAGGGCCAAAGCCGGGCCAAATCCAGGCCACAGCGAGGGCTGGGAGCTGCCCTGGGGCACAGCTCGCCTGGGAGGGTGCCAGGGCCTCCGGGGCTGGGGGAGAGGACCAGCAGGACCCAAGCCAGCAGCGTGAGAGGCACCCCATAAGACAGGAAAAGTGGCTGAAGCTGGGACTTGGGTTCTGGGCCTGTCCCTACCATTCCAGCTGTGGGTGTCACCCAGCTCCCAGAAATGGGAAGAATGCGCTAGCATGTAGTGGCTATGACATGTATTGTTCTCCGACGGTCCTAGAGATGCAGAGTTCTTCCTAACATTTCAAAACTACACTGTCTGTGAGCCACCCAGGAATCGTGTCACCACTGGATATGTAGAGCTGGGCTGTGGACAGCACGTGGCCCCCCTTTGCCACCGTCTTGGGGGCAGTGGCTCCCAAAGATCTGGACCTGTTCTACAGAAGCTGGCCTTCGTCTGCTGGCTACGTCCTCGCTAAGCCCAGGGCAGGCAGCCCAGGGCAGGTCCAAGAGCCGGGTCCTGCTGCAGCCGCCCAGGCCTGAGGCCTCCAAGCCCACCAGATCCTTTGCTCAGTGCTACTGTCTCCTGCAGACTTTAAGGAAAATAATACCATTAGCTACATGCAACCACCTGAGAATTTATGCTGAGAACTGTAATTCAGAAATGATTTTTAAACAAAGCATTTTCTATTTTGCTTAGAATCTTTGTCCAAAAAAGTGGATGACTTGAGAGAGTAATTACATTTTACCTTTTAAAGAGCATGCCTCTGTGAAAGGGAATCTGTAGTTGGTCTCAAGCTGGCACAGAGCATGTGGGACCAGCCCAGAGTGGGGGCACAGGACACTACCCATGACAAAACAGTAGTGACCCAAAACCAAAGCAAGTCATGCAAGAAGTGGATCAAAAAAAGTTTATTCTGAGTATTTAATTTTAAAAAATCATATCTATGAGGTGTGCTACAGAAATTCAGATACAGTAAGTTGCATATAAAACCCAACCTAGTTGTGGTAAAGCAAGGATTATGCAGAAATGCACTTCAGGAAAGAAAGCACGTGCCTTACAATCATCCAATGCCCCAAACACCTGAGACATTTCCACGTGAGCTTTTGGAAAGAGACACTGTCCACCCGACTGTGTGCGTGATTAGACTGGTCCAGCCTCCTGCTTTCTCGGGGGAGGTGGGTTTTTCCATGCAGTGACGGGACAGCAGTGTCCAAGGGCTGCCCCAGGGCATCTGGGGCAGGAACACTCATTTTTAGCCAAGTCAGGCGATCAAATTTTACCGTTAATTGAACATGGTATTTTGGCAAAAACAGCACGACTCCCTGGATGGGAAGAATGTTTCTGGCAGTTCACAACAGTCCCTGCCTTCCCACGGCTGGGGGCCATTCTGCCACAACAGACATTCACACCACATGCCCAGCTACACCACGTCCAGGAGACTGAGCGGTGGTCAAGACGCAGGCCTCGTGCCAGCAGGCTGAGCCCAGCACTAGCCGCCACCTTCCCAGTAAGCCCCAGAGCCTTGCACTGTGGGTCCAGATCTGGAGGCAAGCGAGAGAAGGGACCAATCGAAGGACTCAGAGACTCCATGGCAGGAGTAGAGGCTCAGCCACCCTCCTGAGACAGGACGAGCCGAGCAGGCGGCCCAGGAGAAAGACAGGCTCTTTGCTTCAAGTCTCTGAGCACCTGGGGATGTCACAGATGACAGGTGTGGGGTTCTCCACCCGATGCTGAAGCTGCTGTGCTTTCTAGCCGTTTGCCTCCACTGTGACTTTCCATCAGGACTTTCCCTCTTCTTCCACACACTGAGACTCCCAGAGACACCCTCACCCAGGACCCGCCACCGAGACAGATATCAGCATGAAAGATCTTGGGTTTGTCCTTCAGGACCCTGTCTCCTCAAGACGGGCACAGGGACAACATACACTACTGACCTCGAGAGAACTAAAGGTCCTTGAAGTAGCTACACTTGACAGTCTATTTGGCAAAGAAGGAAAACACCTTAAATGCATAAAAACAATTACCAAAGTCCTCCCAGGAACATGATACAATATATTAGCAAACTCTGTGGCGTAAACAGTGTCGAAAGCATCAGCAAAAGTATGAAATATAAAAGCAGTATGTATATTCCCCACCCCACCCTCAAAGACGAAACGAGGACAGGCGGAGGCATGACCTGCAGCATGGTGGGCGCCTACTGCCGCAGTTCCACGTAGTTGGCAGGGAAGAGCCCGTAGCGGCCCTTGCACACCCCACGCCACCAGCCGTCGTCGATCATCTCGATGTTGGTGATGATGTCGTCAGGGTCAAAAGAGATTTCGTCATCGCCCGCTAGGGGAAGAGGGCACAGAGAAAGACCCGCTGAGATGCGAACGCCTCCTGGGCTTTGGAAAGAGCAGGGTGACCAAGCGTGGCACCAGCGGCCCTGGGCAGAGTCCACGGGCAGAGGGCTGACCGGCCATCATCACCACTTAGCCATGGCGGGACAAAGCCCTTCAACAAAGCCCTAACCCCAGACCAGACTCACTCCTTGTGAGACACTTTCCATCAGACAACTCGCTGCCTTCCCACCCTCCCGCCTGCCAGCCCCAAGGACGAGGACGGGGGCGCGGGAGGCAGTGGAGAGGGTGCTTATAATCATGGACAGGGCCAGCCAAGCAGACGGGCAGGAATGGGAACCAGCGGGATGCACGCACACGCACACGCACACACACACACACACACACACACACACACACACACTCTCTCTCTCTCTCTCTCTCTCTCTCTCTCTCTCTCCCAGAAGCCCCGCACATATAAATAAACATATGTATGTAGAAACGGGTAAGTTCTGTGGGAAGGAAAAGTCTTCCTAAAGGTAGATCACCAACCTCCTTGTTCGGAGGAGAAGAGACAATGGAAAGCACACGTCAGAGGCACTGGGCAGTCCAGCACCTCGCCCCACAGAACGCTCGTCTGCTGCTAAGGGAACAGCAGTGACTGTGGACGGGACGGCACTGATGCCACAGCCACCCTGAGGCATGAGGGGAAGCTGCGTTGTTTCAGTGGCTTCAGCCTGGCCCTGAGGCCAGTCCAGGATGGAAGGCTGCCCCTTTAAAAATGCCAAGGACTCCAAGGGCAGGCAGAGGAGACTGGAGGGGACCAGAGGGGGATGACAAGAAACACAGGGAATCTGCCCGAAGGGGACCAGTGTGAAGAGGGTCTGTGGGTGTCGTGTACTGTGTCCCTTCCTGACCTGGCGGGTGGCATGTGTTTACGTGCGACCGCATCCTTGGTCTTGGGAAACGCACACTGGAGTCCTGGGCAGGGGTGGGGCGGCTGCAGCTCTCCACAGGCTCAGAGCAGCACTACAGACAACAGGACGTGTGCGTGCACAGATGGAATCTGGCTGAGATATGGAAGTTCTGAGCACTGCATCTGAAACTTTTCTGTAACTCTGAAATTATTTTGAAATAAATTACTCCTAAAAATTGTAATAACGCTCAAGAAGTCAGATTCTTAGGTGATGCGATCCTGGAAAATGAGCATAAAGCAAGCAGCCCTTCGGATGCCCCTCCCTGTTCCGAGCAAACAGGGCCTTCTCACCAGCCTGGTAGTCATAGAGGGCAATGGCCGTAATCCCCAGGTCATTTTCATATTCGTCATAGGCGTTTTCCTCTAAAAAAAAAACAACACAAGGTCTGAGCAATAACTGAAGTCCCACAAGTGCACCTACGCATTAAAATTCTTTTTGGACAACATGTCCTAAGTTTTGGAGTGGGGGATAAGCTTTGGGGTTCCTAACTAGGAAAGAAAGTTTACAATGAGAACCAAGTTCCAATCAGGAAGGCATCAGGGTTGTAGGATATTAGGTGCCTTCTAGAAACAAAGGAAAAGGACACCAGCTTTTAAGAGCAAATCCACAGATTCCTGCTTAGCTCTGACACCACCCAGCAAAAAGGAGGGAGGGTAGGTAGTTCAAAAAGCTCATGGAAAAATGGAATTAAAAGACGGTATGAATCTTTCCACGAACTTTTTGAAATACTCTTGTACAGTAACCTTGAAAGGCATCACAGCCACTTTCACAGCCTAACAGACAATTTTAAATAGTTACAATTTCAGGAAAGGTCCCGTGTCGTGGTAAGCACACAGGAGAGGGTCAGTCTGAGGGACAAGGGGAGGGCCCATACCTGCTTGGTAGTGGCCGGGGGCCTCTGTGGTTTCGTAGACAGCCTCCGGGGCGTAGGCTGGGCCCTGCAGGCTACTAGCCTGCTGGTAGCCGGCGCCCTCCGTGCTGTACACAGGCTCCGGCTCACTCCCGCCCACGGGGCCGCTGTAGCTCGGCTCTGCCTTGAATGAAGCCGCGTCCTGGGGAAGGTTCAAAGGGACACTTCACATGACCTCTGTTGGCTTCTAAAAAGCAGCAGCTACACTGGTGCTGCCACAGAAACGCAGGGACTCCCAACTCCTCGGCCTCACAGGACTGAGAAGGCAGATAGGCAAGCAGGCTTCCAGCATGCAACAGGGCCTTAAGTCCCTGGTGCCATCCCCTCTGCACAGTCCGGTCCTCACACCCCCCGACATTCCCAAGTCCTGTCATACTAAGCCCACACCGCCCACCAGGGACCACACGCCTTCCCATGCTGTTTGCTGCAAGTTAAAGCCAGTGTTTCCTAGGTTAGACTTCACCGGTTTCTTTCTTCAGGCCTCAGACCTCCAAGGCCACGCAAGGCACCCAAGGGCCACAGCCTGCCGCCCTGTGCTGCCCACCTGGTCTGACAGCAGCTGCAGGCAGCCCAGCCCGCTGCCCCGAGCAGCCATGTTGCTGCCAGGGCTCTGCTCTGACCAGATCTTCCATGCAGAGTGATGTAAGGGACTTGCCAAAGAATCACGTTCAAGTCAAAGGCACTGGAGGAAACATGCACCTCTACAGAAAGCCACTGTGACTTCTGAGCCCTAACAAGAGCTCTCAACTACTTATCAATGGCAGCTTTGACCAGGTTTTCTGACCAGGGTCCACCTGAAGGCACCGTCCGTGGGTTAGCAAAAGCAAGGCAGACAGCTCAGAATGCACTTGCGGGGCTCCAGGAAGGGTCATCCACCAAGGGCTGGCCATGGACAGCGACACCCACCCCCCCAGACACTGGGAGCCAACAGAGGGGTCAACTTGAATTGCAAGGGAGAGGCCCAAGTTCCCTTTTGGCAAGCTTGCTCTGGCCACGAAGGGTACAGACTGGAGCGTGAGAGGATAGTTCAGGGTGTGGTGGGCACGCACTGGCTGGGCTGCCCAGCAGCACCCTGTGCTCTCTTCTGACAACAGCACCTCCTTTCCCCATGGACACTGGCCTTCTCAAAGGACCAGCTTCTCAGTGCCTGGTCAGGCAGGGGACCATGGCAGAATGGGGGCAGCTCAAGCCCACTTTTCTAGCTGGATTATGAGCCACAGGCTGTCTCCACCATAGCCCCTGGAGTCTGGCAGGACCCATGTGAGGGTGTCACAAATGCATGGATGGCCCGTCCAGGGAACATGGTGCTCAGTCGGGACTGAGGGGAGGGGGCAGCAGAACAGAAGCGCACAGGAGTGAGACTGCAGGGGAGAGCAGTGTCTGTACACGGGGGAGGGGGGGCGGGACTTGCAGAGGGAGTGCAGTCAGTGTGGAAGACAGCAGAGGGCAACCGAGAGGAGCACCAAACCATCTGCTTATCTGGCGCCAGGTAACCTTGCGGGGACCACAGCAAGAAGGCAGCCAGACTGCAGTGGGCTGCGGGAGTCGTAGAAGGACCGCATGGAGGCAGGACGGCTCGTGCGCCTGCAGGAGCACTACCCACCCCCAAGACTCTGCCGGACCCCCTGCAGGTGGGCAAGCCCCTCTGCATCCAAGCCTGCATCACGGTCCCGGGGGGGGGGGGGGGGGTTTCCACTTCTTCTGTGACTCTAAGGAGACCGGATCTGCGGTGCTAAGTCAGAGACTTCCTTGCAAACCAGGAAAACACCAACCTCATAGACGGGGCTGGTGGGCGGCCCCTCCTCAGCTGGCTGCGGAGCGGGGGACGCAGGGGGCGTCTGCTTTTTGGCTCTGGCTTGCTCCTACAACGGAAAAGCAGACAGCCATCAGAACGTCGCCAAGTCAGTCTGCATTACTAGGTCTCCTCATGGCAACAGGATTCCTGAAGAGGATCACACCAAGCCCCAAGCATACTGCCAGGTGGAAGAGCGGAAAACACCAGGCACTGGGACCCAGCACCCACCAGACTGGAGGGCAAGTCTGCGGGAGCAAAGGTCATGCAGCTCGTCAAGTAGTCAACAGCACCAGCCCCTCGGTGGCCACAGCACTGCTCTGCCACTGCACAGACCCCAGGGTTTTGTAATGTGTGGCCGGCAAAACAGCTGTGCTGCAAATGACCCCGTGCCTGATGTAGACCACTGAGATGTGACATCTGGGACTGAGGTGATGTTGTCCCAGGTTGAGGACCTTGAAATGGAGTGAACATATTTTGCCTCTGGGACAGATATGAACCTTGGGGCCAGAGGGTGGGCTGTGGTAGACGGAACGATGACCCCCAAAGCTGTGACATCCCAGTGCCCAGATCCTGTGAGTACGTGACCTTATACAGCAGAAGGGACCCTGCAGATGTGAAGAAGTTCAGGGTGCTGCAGGGGGGAGGTTATTCTGGATGATCTGGGTGGACCCACGTAACCACAAGGTCCTGATCAGAGGGAGGCAGGAGCCTGCGAGGCAGAGTAGGACAAAGGTAGGGGGAATCGGGAGCCGCAGAGAACTGCCGGGGACATAGCCCTGCTGGCATCCTCTAGGACTTCTGCCCTCCAGGACTGCAAGATAATAAGTGTGTGTTTTAAGCCACTGAGCGGGTGGTAACTCAATCCAGCAGCAAGAGGAAACCCATACTGAGTGCCTGGGTGTCACAGTGGAGGCAGCTGAGGTAGGTCTCAGGACACACAGTTGGGGAGCAGAGTCAGCGGTACCCCCTCCCCCTCCACAGGCTGCCCCTCTCTAACAGGGACGACGGTAGCACTGCCCTGTCCTGTTAACAGAAAAACATCCCTGCCTATTGAGACCCTGCCTGACCTGCACCACCAGGACAGTTTAACTTCCTGCATCACTCAGAACCATCCACATGTAAACACCCAAGGCATCCGTGTCCTGTATGTGTGGTGGGAGAGACAGGGCCGGGACTGGGTAGGAGCAGGTTTCCAGACAGACCCAGGCAGGCCAGCCATCACAATGCTGCTAGTTCCGCTGGATCACTTCACAAATACCTGCAGGCTGTGGGCTCCTCGCAGACCCTCCCTAACCCAGCTGTGGACAAGAAAATCCTTTCTCAGTGGCTAAGCACTCAGACTGGAGGCAGGAGCCATGTGGATCGGTTTCACAGTCTCCCCACCTGCGGGGTGGGGGGGGGGG